GAGAGAGAGAGAGAGAGAGAGAGAGAGAGAGAGAGAGAGTATGGTGAATAAAAGTTTATTTTTCCAGGATTAATTTAACTGCTAAATCATATTTATGCTGAAATAATACGTGAACCAAGAATACGTAGTAGGGACACCAGCTTATAAGTTATAATTATTAATTATAATTTATGGACTATATTTATTGATGTGAACTATTAAATCTAGATTTGTTACAAACTTGTTTCCTAGTCTAAGAAGGAAAGAAAAATTACACAACCGTTCCATGTTACAGAAAAAAATTCTTTATGAATATATATTAGGAATTATTAGACATGAAAGATTAATATGATTTGTGTAATAATTATTCAAGTTTGATCTTATTTGTATACTATATTATCAAGTTCGATTGAACATTTACGTTTCTCAAAAATCAAAATTCTTGTTTGTTGGGCAAGTTTTTCAGGTAGAGCTCGCTCATAAAATGGGAGAACAAATTAACATTGAACCATATATATCAGGCACTTTAGACTTGAACTGAATCCCAGTATACATTAACTTAGTAAACTTGATAGCCAAACTCAACACAAAATAATCAAATATAACATTTCAAAACACATAATATTACCCCTTCACTTCCCAAAACTCTGTATACCACACTATTCTACCCTCAGTATAAAATCAATTAAATCGTGCAAAACCGTTCGACTAAATATATCCGGTTGCGCAAAGAAATCCCTTTCAGCATATAATAATAAACTGAAGCTGGCTGCCAAAATGCATCTCAGTCATCGCAATCAAGTCCACAGATTTCCAGTACAGGACCTTCTCTTGAAACAAAAGGGTTGATTCTTACCCACAGAAGAGTTAGTATTGAAGCCAGTAGAATTGACCAGATAACAATGACTGTCGGCAATCTTTCTTGTTTCCCAAACAATCCCTTGAGGAATGGATAGAGATGCACAATAACCCACAATGAAAACAATAGTTTACCAAACAATGGTCCCCAGGAATCATATCCATTATTAATGGCATCTGCAACGCCCACCACAACTGCAACTATGTTTATTATCAGCAATGTTATGGGTGGGATTAGTAGAGACGTCCACTTGAAGAGATATAGCTCGGAAAATTCACCATTAGCTCCTCCTTTTGAGGTAACGGTAAAGTTTGTGTTCACTCCTGCTAAAATCTTGAGCAATCCTTGAAAGAGAGCAAAAAGATGCGCTGAAACACCTCCAATGACCCAGAACTGCTCATTCCTCCACCAGTCTTCGATTCCAACACCGCCCCATTGCATCTCAAGAATACCGGTCGCAGCAATGGAGATGAAGAGAGAAATAAATACGATGCTTGCATAATTACTTATCTGTAAATTGACAATATTGTTAGCTAAAGCCTCCGGAAACAAAATCCAAGTAATTTTCTAAATTGTTGGCTATTACAGTCTTTTTTCTATGAATAGATTCATTAACATTTCAAACCATCATAATATCATATTAAGTAGGCTTTCTAGGTTGTTGAGAATGTAATCCAAAAGGATAACTCAGACACCATCACTTACCTCAGGAACAATAAATTTCCCAGTAAGAAGGCAGATGGCAGGCAATGTACAGTACACAATCAAAGGGATAGAAGTCCAGGGATATACAACTGAGTTTATATAAGAAATTCTTTCCAACCACTTCAATCCACCTCCATAACCATACCATATGGGGCAGTGTTTGCTCAAAAATATCTCAACAGATCCTAGAGCCCATCTCAGAACCTGTTGAAGACGGTCTGAGAGGTTGATGGGAGCTGACCCTTTAAATGCAGGCCTCTTTGGTACGCAATACACAGATCGCCAGCCATGGCAGTGCATCTTGAATCCTGTCAAGATATCTTCGGTGACAGAGCCATATATCCAGCCAACCTGGTTCAAAAATTTTGATATTCAGAATGTAATAAGGCAGCACATAGGCATTAATGTAATTCAGAGTTAAGCACTGAATTACTTACCTCCTTTCCCCATTCTGTCTTATCCTCATATCCACAGCTGATAACATGTATGGCCTCTTTTAAGAGTAATGTGGAACTAACTTCCTTAGGAATGCCACCATTTTCTAGTAGTGTTGAGGCTACGAATACAGGAGACTGCCCAAACTTCTTCTCAAGTTTTTCTTGGAAAACAATCGATTGATTTTCATTTTTCGTATCTGTGATGGAAAGATAAGTTGCACAATTCAGTTGGATCCATTTTGTTTCTGAACTTATTTTTGGTTCCTCAGGCTCAGGTAAGCGGACGAGCAGTTGGACATAGAGGATAATATCTGGAAGATCAAGTGACTAATATGCTAATATTGTTTTCTAAGAACAAAAAAAGTTACCTTCAGTTCTTTCTTTGACGGTTTCAAGTGCATGTATCTGTTTAGATGCCTCTTTTTGCTTCAGTGTCTTCTTCTTTTCTTTCTTCAATTTTTCTCTCTGGTTTTTTCTAGATCCACAGCACAAACAGCACCACTTCGGCCAGCAGTTACAAGTCTTGCTCGGTGGCTTCTTCTTGATAGGAGCATCATATCCATAAAGAGCTTGCCTTCTGAAGACACACCCTGTGCCAACATATATGGGCCCTTGCAAACCATCCAAACCCTTCATGTTGATCTGTCAAAATTGCCAAAATCATTTTCTGCTCGACGAGCAGAAAAGTAAATGTAGCCACTACAAGAGAAAAAAATACTTACATCGAAGAACACGACATTTCGGTTTGAGTATCTATCGCGATTATCAATCCCATCAAATCTTTGTGGAAACTGGACATAGCATACTTTCTTCCCTGAAGTAGGATCCATCATGAAACACATAGCTTCTCTCAGTGCCTTGCTGTTGTTTATGTAGTGATCGCAGTCAACATTCAGAAGATAAGGTGCATTTGATAGCACAGCAGAAGCTCGCACCTAAAATTTTACAACAAAAAATGAAGTCCATGCAATCTGAACTTAGATTTTACTAAAGTATTTTTTTTCCTTCTCTCACATTTGGTGCTGTTAGGCAAATTTACAATGTATAGGTGACTTAAGCTTTACCAGTGAATTCATGGCCCCTGCTTTCTTATGGTGCTCAAAACCAGGTCTCTTTTCACGGGAAACATAAACCAGACGAGGCAATTCATTTTCTTCTACGTCACGGACACCATCTTGACCAAGGAATACCTATTATAAGACAACCTCAAAAATTTAGAATTTCAAACATCACCATGAATTAATCAATTTAAAAGGCATGAAGTGACAATTATTCATGGCAAAGGCACTCCATGGAGTACATAGTATTATCATTGTAATTAGTGACTCGTTAACACAACAAATTCAAATACTAGTTTCATATCCTATTAGCCTGATTTTTGGTTATCACTACAATATTTGCACCTGCTCTCTAAAGAGGTTTCTTTTATGGAATATATGTCATTCTATTTTTTTTTTTTCATTCACATCTAGTATGACCATCAGATATTAACAAATGAGGCCAATAGTTGATTTTCTTATTTTTCAAAGTTGTCAGATTTGAATTTATTGGAATCCAGGGATGATCCAAGTTCTTAAATCTTTATAATGCACATTGCATATTGTAAAAGAAGAGTCGCGTACAGGAGAGCACTGTTAACAAGAAGGTATAACTCTCACCTGGATCATACCAGGATGGTCCCAAACATTGTTTCCAGGCCAGGGCGTTCCATCCTGCATTGTCCAACCTTCCTCGGGAACTTTTTGTGCCATAGACACCAAACGGTTGATCCGAACTTTGAACTCTTCATATTCTCTCTGCATGAGAAACAACATTAATAGCACCATGAAAAGAGGACAGTTATGCAGTTGATTGAGAATCATAAGAAACCTCTCTCTCTCGACCAAATAATCATATTCGATTTTAGAAACAAGAAGATACAGACCTTCATTGCACGCCTTTCCCTGACAAATGCTGGATGGACTTTGTTTTTCAAATAGTCAATCTTCTGAGAGAAGTACCATTCTGGAGCTCGTGGTTCTATACAGAACTTCTTGCAGAAGGGAACCCATTTTCGAGCAAATTCAGATGTTTCAGAAAGAGTTTCGAAAGTGAGCATGGCAGCACCATCATCTGATAGATAGCATGCAACTTTTTCGACTGGATAATCCACTGCAAGGATGGAAAGAACAGTGTTTGCAGTTATTAAAGGTGGCTCCTTCATGGGATCAACCGTGCTCACGAAGATGTCTATGGCATCTAACTCCGAGGGCTTTCCTTCTTTCTCATATCTAAACAGCAAGAACAATGATCAGAGTAGTCGTACACCAAGATTCTAAAGCAATCAAATTTCAGATCCCTGGCCGATACCTCATTGATAGTCGATCAAGGTATGTTTCTCGCTGAATTGGGTACCATTTCGGGAACTGATCAAGTATCCATGATAGTGCGAACCATATTTCACAAATAACTGATGTTATCCACAAGCCATATGCATCAGAAACTGGATGCAGAAGCCTATAGTGAAAGAAGAAGCCAAGAACCACAAGGCGGAGAAGAATTATCAATCTATAAGGGTTTATCTTGCTCGAAGCAATGGCTAGTTTCCTTGACAGAGGTTGTCTTCCTTCATCCATCCTAGTAGAAACATTCACACGAAATTAATAAAACATGAAGAACTAAAA